GGTCAGCAGTTCCCCCCCCTGCTGAGAACAGCCTGGGGTAAGCCCTGCTTTCCCTTCCTGAGCCGTCGGATGGTTTGCCAGAACCTCCTTGAGGCCAACCGAAAGTCCTTCTCCATGGCCTCCCCGAACTCCTCCCATGCCCGAATTTTAGCATTCGCGACCACCGCAGCTGCAGCCCTTCTGGCCTGCCGGTACCTGTCAGCTGCTTCGGGAGACCCCTGGGCCAACCAGGCCTTGAAGGTCTCCTTCTTCAGCTTGACGGCTTCCCTCACCTCCGGTGTCCACCACCGGGTTCTCGGGTTGCTGCCACGACAGGCACCGATGACCTTCCGGCCACAGCTCCTAGCGGCCGCGTCCACAATAGAGGCTTTGAACATGGTCCATTCGGATTCCATGTCCCCAACCTCCCTCGGGATGTGAGAGAAGTTCTTCCGGAGGTGGGAGTTAAAGACCTCCCGGACAGGGTCCTCCGCCAGACGTTCCCAGTTCACCCTCACTACACGTTTGGGCTTGCCGGGTCTTTCCAACCGGTTCCCCTGCCATCTGATCCAACTCACCACCAGGTGGTGATCAGTTGACAGCTCTGCTCCTCTCTTCACCCGAGTGTCCAAGACATACGGCCGCAAATCAAATGATACGATTACAAAGTCGATCATTGATCTCCGGCCTAAGGTGTTCTGGTACCAGGTACACTTATGAGCCACCTTATGTTCGAACATGGTGTTCGTTATGGCCAAACCGTGGCAAGCACAGAAGTCCAATAACGAGACACCATTCGGGTTCAGATCGGGCAAGCCGTTCCTCCCAATCACCCCCCCGCCAGGTTTCTCCGTCATTGCCCACGTGAGCATTGAAGTCCCCCAGGAGAACTATGGAATCAGTAGGTGGCACCCTTTCCAGGACCCCTCCCACCGACTCCAAGAAGGCCGGATACTCTGAACTGCTGTTTGGTGCGTAAGCACAAACCACAGTCAGAGCCTTGCTCCCCGCAACCCGTAGGCGCATGGAGGCGACCCTCTCGTTCTCCGGGGAGAACTCCAACACAGCGGCGCTCAGCCGGGGGCTCGTGAGTATCCCCACTCCCGCCCGGCGCCTCTCACCCTGGGCAACTCCGGAAAAGGACAAAGTCCAACCTCTCTCCAGGAGCTTGGTTCCAGAGCCAGCGCTGTGTGTGGAGGTGAGTCCAACTATATCTAGCTGGTATCGCTCCACCTCCTGCACCAGCTCTGGCTCTTTCCCCGCTAGCGAGGTGACGTTCCACGTCCCTAGAGCTAGTCTATGCTGCCGGTGATCGGCTCGCCCAGGCCTCCCGCCTGACCCGCCGCCCGGTCTGCATTGCACCCGACCCCGATGTTTGTCCCTGCGGGTGGTGGGTCCACAGGGTGGCTGCTCCATGCTGTTTATTCGGGCTGAGCCCGACCGGGCCCCATCGGCGAAGGCCCGGCCACCAGACGCTCGCCGACGAGCTCCCCTCCTGGGTCTGGTTCCGGGAGGGTTCCCCGGTTTCCCTGGTCCGGGCGAGGTGGCTAAAGTCCGTGGGCTGCTTATCATTAAGGTCGTTTGAACCGCTCTTAGGCTGGGCTCTCCCCCGAGACCTATTTGCCTTGGGAGACCCTACAAGGGGCTAATGCCCCGGACAACATAGCTCCCAGGATCACTGAGCCACTCAAACTCCTCCACCACGTTAAGGTGGCGATTCGCGGAGGGTTCAACTTGAGAACCTTATTTGTCACTGGCCCGTAAATATATAAAACACAGCAATACTGTAACAAATACTACAGGGATAGCTTACAATTTTGATCCAAGTTATGCATATTATATCATATGTAATGAATGTTAAATTGAAGAAATATATTTTCATCTGAATGCTCTATTAAATAATCAACAGCAACTGAGAAAACAGCACAAAGATAACAAATTATGAATATAATATTATAAAAAATAAACAATGACCATACAAATCACACCACTAGGTAGTCGCCATTTGTCCGAAAAAACAAACACAAATCAAAGGGACACTGATGCACCATGGGTTTGTGGTTTACGCAGGCAAAATAAATCATTGTCTATACAGGATTCTGTGTTTGTCATGATTTATTTAACAAAACAAAACTAAAGCATCAAATTAAAAAATCCAATTGGTTTCCATCTGTAGCAGGTCTTTATCTGATTAACAGTTAAACTAATGTTATTGCTTCTGTTGAACAGACTATTTACAGTAGCGTTTAAGTATACGTTTTCTGTGTGCCAGTATTGTTTTAGTTTGTCGGTCGAGCAAACTGAGTGAGCAGAAAACATTTTAGAACAACATAGTGCTGTTGACTGGTCTAAGAATGGCAATATTCATAGCTTTTTGATATACAAATTTGCACTTCATTTGTCATGGGAGTTCATGGGTTAGGACCCAATCGCAAGACCACAGGAGACAGAAGTTGATATAAACAGGTTTTATTTTGAAGGTGTGTGAAGGTGTGGAGCCCGTGGTCCAACACCAGAGAGTAGGCAGATCGACGGCGTGATGTCCCGTGGCTCGACACCGGAGAGCTGGCAGCTTGACGGCGTGTGTAGTCCGCTAACACAACGGAGGGCAGAGCGGTGGTGTGTAGTCCGTTAACACCACGGAGGGCAGAGCGGCGGTGTGTAGTCCGTTAACACCACGGAGGGAGGAGCGGCGGTGAGTAGTCCGTAAACACAAAGGAGGGCACGGGGGATTCCCGGACCGACGGAGGCAGGCAATCGAGCCAGAAGATGCAATGGGGTTGAAGCGGGTGAAAGACGGTACGACCTGACAACCCCAGACTGCAGGACCAGAGTTTATATAGTGCCAGGGGAAGCGTTAGTGGGACCTGAGTCTGGTGTGTCAGCCTGCAGGAGGTAATCGGCTGGAGTGGCTGCAGCTGTGTGGCCATGGGAGGTGTCTGGTCTGACAGGGATCCTGACATCATTGGACATTCACTCACATTCTTGTTAAACTAGCTCCTAATGTTTCCTACCAATGTAAGTATGAAAAATAGATGATGCATACAACCCCTCACTGATATAGTCCTAGGAGTCAACACGTGCAGATCTTTTCACATGTGACTTAAAACCTCAAAGGGGATTATTACATTGCAATGTAGCTCAATGATATCAAGAAATGTTTGACAAACAGGTTTTGCTCATTTGACTTCTACTTCATACCATCATTTGAATTGCTTTTTCATGAGTGCCAGGAAGGCAGCTGGTTTTCAATGTTTAGTGTGTCTATTATCTTATAAACACCTGATACATAAAGAACAACTGAGAACAACCAAAGAACAAAACCATTATTTCAGACAAATTCAAGATTTGTATTTGTCCCTGAGGGGTAATTGGTTTTGCCGCAGTAGCAATAACAACAACAACACCATATAATAACATACACATTCATACATATACAACCAAAAGAACAGGCATGGTTGGAGATTTGCTGATACTACCTGTACTTTACAGAGTTGAGCAGTTAGATGGCACAAGGTATGAAAGAGAATTTATAACTGTAAGTTTTGACTAATGGTTGTCTGAGGCAAGAACCACAGGGTGGAACATTTTAAGTGCAAGGGTTGGGTACTGTCAGATATAATGTATTCTGTTTTCTTAGACAACTGTTTGTTGGACAGTTCAGATAGATACTTCTGCCGAGTGCCAATCATTTTGCTGCCGACTTTCGTCCCTCTTGAGTTTTTCTCTTTGAGGTTTAGCAAATCGAAGCAAACTGACTCAACCTGATCTCAACCTGGAACTTGGTAAACTTCCCCAGACAAAAGAGACGCTGCTGGCTTTTCTGGGTCAACTTATTGTCAATTATGATTCACAAAGTAGTCCTTTAATTATAGTGGTTGCAAGAGTTAGGTGGTGACGTGTTAAATCAATGCACATGTGCCTATTCAATCAGAGAACACACCCATACAATAGGGTTAGACACACCCATAATTACATTGATATGCAACAACCGTATAATTAAGGCATGTCAAATTTAAGGATGACAGTGAAATAAACAAGAACATACACACCCAACTGTTTTAGACACACCTACAATTAAAAGGTAGCAACAGGAACACAATTGTAAATACACAGTACAAAATATTAGTGCTGTCATTTGATGCGTAAATTTATCAATTAAGAGTAGATTAGTGAGGCCTGAATTTTTTATTTTATTTTACAAATAATTAAACTGAAAAATCAGAAGTAATTGAATAAACTGTGAAATGATTATCCACACTGTTTGCCCTTGAACATCTTACCGTCTGGGCACATTTGCCTGATGGCTTCTGAACCAGTGCAGTTGAAAACATAGTTTTTGTCCTTAGGGTCGACAAAAAGCCCTTTGCTGTTTCCATTACAATCGTTTCCCTGATTGTTAACTATGGTACTGGGTGTCAGAGTAGTTGTTGTTATAGTAGGGGGCATTGTTGTGGTAGGGGGAGTAGTTGGGGTAGTGGGCGTTGTTGTGGTAGGGGGAGTTGTGGTAGTCAGCTTGTTGTAGTTGTGGTAGGGGGAGTTGTGGTAGTCAGCTTGTTGTAGTTGTGGTAGGGGGAGTTGTGGATGTTGGCATTGTTGTAGTTGTAGTAGGGAGAGCTGTTGTGGTCGTTGTAGAGGCAGTTGATGTGGTAGTTGGCATTGTTGTGGTAGAGAGAGTTGTAGTTGTGGTAGGGGGAGTTGTGGTAGTCGGCATTGTTGTAGTTGTGGTAGGGGGAGCTGTGGTAGTCGGCATTGTTGTAGTTGTGGTAGGGGGAGTTGTGGTTGTCGGCATTGTTGTAATCGTGGTAGCGGGTGTTGTGGTAGTTGGCATTGTTGTTGTTGTCATAGGGGGTGTTGTTGTGGTAGTCGCCATAATTGTAGTTGTAGTAGGGGGAGTTGTGGTAGTCGGCATTGTTGTAGTTGTAGTAGGGAGAGTTGTCATGGTCGTTGTAGAGGGAGTCGATGTGGTAGTCGGCATTGTTGTGGTAGAGGGAGTTGTAGTTGTGGTTGGAGGAGTTGTGTTAGTCATCATTGTTGTAGTTGTAGTAGGGGGAGTTGTTGTGGTCGTTGTAAGGGGAGTTGTTATGGTAGTCGCAATGATTGTTGTTGTGGTAGGGGGAGTTGTGGTAGTCGGCATTGTTGTGGTAAGGAGAATTGTAGTGGTAGTTGCTGTGGTGATGGGAATTGTTATGTTGGTGGTTGGGAGAGTTGTATTGCTGAGGCTAGGAAAACCTAAAAGAATGAGAGTCAGATGTTAAATGCTTTTTAAACTCTGTTAATCACAAAATATTGGTATATACCTGAGGATGGCTGCGAATACCTCTTAATAGAAAGAGCACACATTTGCTTTCTTCATAAAAATAGTATATGTAATGTAATTACTGAATGCTGATGGGATTCAATCAAATACACACTAAAAACTGCCACTCCATGCTTGGCTCAACATTAAGAGTTGCCCGCTTGCACTGGGCAAGTAAACTCTGTGTTCAGGCCATTGGAATGAGTCATCCAGTTGTCCTATCGGGCATGTGAAAAGTAAATGTGATCTTGATGAGGGGCTGATATACAGTAACAATCTGCCATCAGGAGATCGCCATTAATGCTTTCTATTAGCCGATCTCTGAAAATGCTTCATTGTGAACAACAAATTCATTGCAATTGGCCACGTTATTTAACGTTAACGGAGCTCTCCTCTTGCCAGCTTTGAGCAGCTGGTTGGCATCACAGTCCAGCCTGGCTAAATAACGGAGCTAACAGCATAGCAACATTATGAAATACTAACTTATTCAGACACATAGGCCTATTCTATTGTAATTCATTCCCGCGCTGTTGCTCAAACTAATCACTGTAAACAGCTTTTCTGCCGACAGCTCGGGGTCTCTCCTTAGCGCAGTTCTGCTTATAAAGGAGTGAACAGCGAATGTATGAAGGATTAATTTAATAATATATTATTGTGCATTCAAGCTAGAAACAGTAACAATTTGTATTAAGCGAGGGTAAATTATTAATTAATTATCATATGTTCAAATGTAATCTTGAAAACTGTAGTCATTGGCCAGGAACTGCCTATATTTTGTATTTCGGACAGGTACGTTTGGCTAAAATACCTTGGGTCAAGTGGCTGAAAAAGCTTAATGTCAAGTCCCTGCCAGGACAGGATACGATGTAAATGTTTTGCATTGTGGTTACCTGGAACCAGGATATCATGCAGGTGGCTGATGAAAGGGCATTTGCCCATTTTACAGAACTGTCCAGTAGTGTCGTCCAGGTCCAGAGACCAGACACAGGCTCCTCCAAAGTCGTTAGTTTTTAGGTAATTGACCTGAGAGGATGAGGAACAACACATTTCAACAGCTGACGTCATGTTGACAACATATTTTTTTGACCAGATTGTGTACAACCAGTCATTTGCAAACGAATTATAGAACAACAGTGTGAACTGAACAGACGACTACCTTAGTATCAAGACTGGCTTTGTTGTCAAATCCAACCCACTGATTTTCTGTGACGGCATATGGAACTTCCTGATCAACAATCAGATGGGTAGTATCCCCTTCAATATAAAGGCAAGTCTGAAAAGAATGGTCAAAAATCATATTTAGATCCAATGTATTCATTCAAACAGATATTTGTCACACCAAATAGAGGAAAATTGGTTAGCTTATAATAAAGCTATTCATATTAATTAATAAATTCACAGCTTGCTGTTTTACCTCATAAGAGGCCCAGAATCCTTCTTCACCGGTGTAGCAGCCTTCTTCACCAGGACCATTGGTTGGTGCACCAACGTCACTGGATTCAGTGGAGAGGTTAAAAGCACGCCCATATGCCGCTAACCCCAAGTTTAGCTTTTGTCCAGGTGCTCCTTGTTCCCGCCAGTACCGCATGGCATAGTCCTACAATGTGGAGAAAACGAAACAATTAAGATGAAAGGACATATCTGAGTAGGAAGGTCTTTAAGCAGTTGAAATATGAATCCCTGTACTTACAGTGTTCAAGTAGATTTCGTCTCCAGTGTCTTGAGTTCCGTTGTATAAGGGGCTGTGATGTCCTGTGACACTTTCCCAGTGGCCGTGAAAGTCAAATGTTAACACATTAATGAAATCCAGATGCCTGTTAAAATGCAGAGGAGATCACCTTAACCAAAACATGACAACAGCTAGTTATTGGTATAAAGAATTACATTAAAATAGTTTTACATGGCAATCTGTGAGACTTCATAACCGGCATCGATGGTTGCTTTCTCAGCAGAGACACTTGCAGTGACGATTAACCTGTCACCGTTAGTTGAGTTTCCTTCAGCCACAAAGGCCTCATTGAGTTCCTATACAACACAGAAGCATGCAGTTTATTTTAAATGCCTAAAAAAACATTTGAATGCATAGTAATTGCACTATGGCATATTTCTGACAGTGTCTGTCCCAGGAGATTCAGGATCTGACCTGGCACAGCAGTGTGAATCTCCCCTTGTCCTGTCCCCCAGGGTACCTCCAGTCCAGGTTTATTCCATCAAAACCATTATCTCTCAGTAGTGTGATCGCAGACTTGATGAACTTTGTTCTGTTTTGTGGGTCTGCCACCATTGTACTGAATCTGGTAAACATTTGAACAAAACAGTGCTCTCAAGAAGATACACAACATACTTCATTTAAGTGTGCTGTTTTAATAGCTGAAACAAAGAGCCACGCAAAGGACAAGGTCATGTGTGTAAAGACAAATAATATGCAGCCATAGGCAAATGGTTTGGTTACCACGCTCTTCACATGTAATTATGAATAGTGATGAAAGTAAGCACTTTTATGTGCACATTTTGTGTGATTCTTTTCCAGCAAAGTGCTTTTGGTTTCACATAATATAATGAAGGTATCAGGTATAAATACTTCTGCTTGTTGAACTATGTTTAAGTTTGTATTTCCTTTATCATTTTGTTGCCAAAAATTGACATCACATATTTTGTTTGAATGTGCTGATGGAATCATGTAATTAACTTAATTATATAGGCCAATTAAACACCAGAATCTAATATTTTGCTATCTAAAAACGATGTACCATGCATGCTGTACAAAGCACAAAAATACAGTATGATAGGTCAAAGTTTCATGGTCAGGAAAATGTCAACATGCACTCACACAAAGAAGGCCTAAATATTCATGTTAGTAACTTACTTTTTTGTGTTAAACCTCAAGCCACCAACCGCCAATAGGGTTTTGAGCAGTGGATTTCTGTGGGATCATAAAAGTCATAGAAATAGAATGAGAGTAGAACTGATATTCCCATCTTCATCAACATAGCAGGATGGTTACAATGGCTGACATGGCAAACTTTGTAGATATGGTTGTAGTGGGCTAACTTCCTTATTATCTGACTTGTGGCAAGTCGTGGACTCACTTATGCTGGCGTGATGTGTAAATCAACAGTGTCTAGTGTGTGTGCGTGAAGTCCCGCCATGCCGTCAGTCCTTTTTAGAAGTAAGCTAGAAGGAAAGTATGAATCCACTACTGACCCAAATCAACTACAGAAGGCTACATTAAAACAATCAAAACCATGGGATTTATTAACAAACAACATACAAACAAGACAACACAAAATGCTAAATTGAGAGGCAGCAAGAGAAACAGTCCCCACACCAGAGGCCTCCCTCTTCTGCTCCTGGCACAGGAGCATTTAAGCACTTCCTTGCCAGTCCAGGTGCACCTCTATGAGCAATGCAGTACACCTGGGCAGAGCTACTAGAGAGGGATAAAGGGACAATGGCAAAGGAAACATATACAGTTGTAACAGTTGTCGCAATAACAGCCAACAACAATCATCATTTTCTAAGTAAAATGACCATGCCAAACAGTTCAATGTCTGCTCTACTCTCATTGTATTTCTCTGATAAAAGTTCAGTAATGACTGTTTAACGAAACACAAAAATCAACATAATTTCCACAATATGTAAAGGATAAAACTCTGACCTGTTTTTGAGTCCATTGAACAACTCATATCGTGATATGTCAGTGTCACAACTGGGGACCAGCTCATTTGTGTTGTTTATGTCGGAAAAGGCATAGATCAGATGGGTACACTTGTTCGGATCGATATCTGAAACTGAGAACTGTCCATAGTCTGGTCTATTTTCAGCCAAGCTGTTATAGTAACACACCAGCCTAGAGGAAGTAGCTGAGACATGGAAGAAAATCATTAATTATATCAAAATCTTTGTTTACCAACAAATTGTTTGGTGCATTACTTATCTGCTAGTAAAACTGTTTATTGTGATTAATACAAGTTATAAACTCACCCAAGCTGGCGATGATTAAACAGAGACCTTCAAAGTGACAGAGTTGGTCAATATGAGGTTAAAAATAAAGCTTAACATGACTCTTCACTCACATTTCAAATAAACGCCCAAAAATGATTTTATCACTCACTTCTACTGGTCTCTAGCATTACAGTTAAGTTTGGATTTTTTTTCATCCCAATACATTGGAGTTAAATGGAATTTAGTTTTACAAATTCAACAGCAACCGTGTATCTGGATAATAAACACAGGTGTGTTGTGTGGATTATCCAGAGTTATAGGGTTACTGATTCTGGAAGGAGTTGCCAGTCATAAGCACCACAAACCAAATTCCATTACATTGAACCTGTGATCTGAGAAACAATCCGACTATCTGCATGGCTAAATACCATAATAGGTAAGTGAGAAAATAATGTATATATATATTGTGATTTAGGCGGCATTCAGTCAACCAGTGTGCCTTACCTGTAGTTAGAGTGAGCTTGTCCATGTTGTCACTGTGTATACGCAGAAATAGAAAGGTCTTATTATCTTTATGCAGTATGTTGGAGGGATTTTTCCTAGATCTATTTTATCAATTCTGGAGTGGTAAAAACATATCTGCAACAATTTAGGAGACATATACTCTATCATAATGTTTAAAGCTCTTTTACGACCAATTAATTAATCAATTAAATCATGAATGAATTAGTACATTAATTCTTTATAATAAGAAAAGAGAATTTGTTGCCATCCAAAGTTTAGTTCAATGACATTACAGAATATGACTTGTCATTTTAAACTGCAACTTAAACCCCATGTTCAACAATCATTCTGATTAATGTACCTGATGACAATGTGTTTTGTATTGTGTCATTTAAGTTATTCACCCAGCAAGACTCAGGCTGTTGTAACCCTTGTAAAACTGCTTACAGACCAAGCTTTGAATTGACTCTCGCAATTTATCTACATCTACAGATAACTGACAAAATAAAAAAGTTTTTAGTTTAACTAGCGAGTAAGTAAGAGAGAATGAGCAGGTATAGCAATATACAAAGTAACTAAGAAACGAGTGCAGATGTGGTTTAATGAAATTAGAATAAAATGGATACTTACAAATATTCTGGTGAAAGAAGTAAAGGTCTCTCAACTCTGACTGATTGATGAGTGACATATCTATGGCTGTGCTGTTCTAAATAGTTTACAGCAGGGTGTGGCACTTAACTAGGGAGGAGTGTGTGTAATTCTTCCAGTGTTGCAATGCCCAATAAAATCATCAGTATTCATGTGCACAATAGATTAATTCAGCCCACTAAAAAACAGTTTATTTTGATAGAGTAACATAAGTATGTAGTCATAGTAAGAACAACAAAAGGACATTGGCCAACAACACATAGGCCAATCATTGTTTTTTATCATAATGTAATTTCAACATAGGAACACAATGTGAGAGAATCAACATAGCAAAGCGTTGGTCATTTTTATGCTGTTGCTATTGCAAGCGTTGTAGCTGGCAACATCTAACTTCCATGTAAACCGACTTGCGAAATTTGATGTCTTCTGCTATGTTGATGACTTCTATTCTCATTCTATTTCTATAAATAACACATTCCAGACAGTTTCTTTCAATCACCTGTGTAAAACTTGATATTAATATGAAGTGACCAGAAAAATAGAAATACTCCCCCAAATAGCACTGCAGTAATTCTGTGGTATGTCCTGTGTCTCTCTTTTGTGGTTGTAAAGTTTCAAGAGGCTATGATTATCCTAGAGGTCACAACAGGTCATTTTATACAGTGAAGTCAAGTTTCAAAAGTGGTTATCACACATGAATACAATTGGAATCATTGGATCCACAACCATTTCCAGACATACCCAATTTATGCAATTCCAAGACTGTTAAGTTAATATTCATTAACTTAAATATTCATGAACGCCATTTTAGAATAGACGGAAATCAGACATGTATAAGCTACTGCATGCAAAAAAGCTCCATGTTTTTCACTGAAAGTACCCCCAAACTGCATGGGATTAGCACAAAGTGGGCATGTCTGTAGAGGGGAGGTTTGTGGGTATCCATAGAACCCATTTTCATTCACATATCTTGAGGTGTAAGGTCAAAGGACGCCTGTGTATATGGCCATGCCGGGTTTTCCCTTGCCAAAATGTAGCCTATTTTTGGATCTTTATTTAGTTGCTACTGCCTCTGAAAGACAATGCAGCGATTAAAAGTCAACCAACAAGAACAAACCCACACAAAAGGTTAACTTTAATGAAGGAGTACAACTTTTAATTGTTCTTGTGCATACTTTAGCCATGGCAACTGTGTGGCTCAATGGATTGCAATGTCAGTCAGTCCGTCGGTTTGCTGCAGTGCTCGAAGTGGACTGATACTTTGACATTTTACTCTTTGGCGTACCATGACTTTGTCTTGCAATGTAGAGAGCAACTGGACATGCGACATTAGGAATTAGAAAGAGGATGCTGTAATTTATCGATGCAATGTTTGTTTCCTTTTTCTAAAAGAATTTGTGAACTGTTCGTAATGACTCTTTTGTCAACAAATATAATTAAAAAGTTTAAACTTAAAAGTTTCCTGAATTTTCTCTTTTGAATTACAGAATATGATTTTACAAGGCAAACAATTCCAGAATAATTAAATGTTCAGGCTTCATGAAGGCTGTGACATTCTCAACTATATCAAGTTTTGTCTTTAAGCTTTTGAGGCATTATAGTAATACTAATGGTCCAAATGTATGTACATTTATCTAGTTTTAAGTCAAAACCATCACACCAAATAGGTCTTAGTATATATTCCCTATAGAAATTCAGAATGTGTCTCTTTATTCTGCTGCATAATATATGAGCATCCTGACTGCGTCACTGCTCGTAAAACGTGAATAAAGAGCTCACACGCCTCAGTTCTGCATACCTGCCTGTCTGGCTGGTTGGTGTTGATTCACGCTGTAGGCATCCTATAATTAAAGAGCAATACGCACAAATAACATAACACAGGAAAACACCTACCTATCATAGTATTATAGGCCTTTACCGTAGAAGACTTAGTCCAGGTATAATAATATAACAAAAAAAATCACAGTTGATTATGAATGGCACAGGATAACATGCTTAAAGAAGTAATCAATTAATAATAATAAGTAGCAAGAGATTGCCGATACCAGCCGATACACACTCAATAAAGGGAGTACTGACATTTTGTTTCCACTCCAAGCCCTGGTCTGCTGGTCGGTTCTCCATCGAGCAGTCGATTGCAAAGGCACGCTGAACTAATGTCTGAATCTTACAACAATGTCGTTCAGGTGTCACGGAATAGCCGTGATTTCAAAGAAACATCAATTCTGATGATCAGTTTGTTGTCCACAGCTGGCTTCAGATTAATTTCTTTTGAGATTATTAAATACATGCAGCATCACACAGCAGCTGAAACAATGTTCTTTTTAAAGATGTTGGCGTGGGTGGGTAAATATCCCTCTCGTTCAGGTTAGACAGGTTTGTGTATTCAGAAGTATTAAGATCCTGTGTCTACAGATTCCCAAAGTGTCAGAAAAGAACACAGTCTCTCTTTTTATCCTGCTCCATCTATCTAAAGACCTGTGTAAAAAAGAGCTGAAAATCGGGTGCTGTTGCTACGTAATTAGAAGCCTAATTTGGGTTTCTTGGTGGTTTTGCAGAACCACCTTCAGCTAGGTGACCCCACCCACAGAGCTCTAACATTGGACAAATACGTAAAAGTTAAACACGTAATTCAGGCTGAAAGCGGGCGTTGTATCGTACCGTTGTGATGAAGAGGGAATTGAGCAAAAGCTCTCGATTTACGAGTCCATCTACGTTCGAACCCTCTCCTATATTCATGAGCTTTGGGTAAAGACCAAAATAATGAGATTGCAGATACAAGTGGCCAAAATGCTTCCTCCGTAGGGTGGCTGGCCTCAGCCTTAGAGATAGGGTGAGAACTCAAACATCTGCAGAAAGCTTGGAGTAGAGCCGGTTGCTCCTGCGCATCAAAATGGACCAGCTGGGGTGGTTTTGGAATCTGATCTGGATGCCTCCCTTTAGAGGTTTTCGCGGCATGTCTAACTAAGAAGAGGCCCTGGGATAGACCCAGAACACATTGTTTATGACACATTCTAAACCTACCATCTGAATGTCGCAGCAGAAATCGACACTCATCAGACCAGGCAACGTTTTTCCAATCTTCTACTGTCCAACTTTGGAGAGCCCGTGCCAATTGTAGCCTCAGTTTCCTGTTGTTAGCTGACAGGAGTGGCACCCGGTGTCGTCGTTGCTTTCAAGGTTTAACATGTTATGCGTTCAGAAATGCTCCTCTGCATATCTGTTTCCCTTTTTTGACCATTCTCTATATACCCGAGAGATGGTTGTGCATGAAAATCACAGTAGATCAGCAGTTTCTGAAATATTCAAACCAGCCTTTCTGGCACCAACAACCCTTATATGTTCAAAGTCGCTTATCTTCCCCATTCTGATGATTGTTTTTGAACTTTGGCAGATCGTCCTGACCATGTCTACATGGCTAAATGCATCGATGCGTACCTAATGTATTAGTGCCTGCAACAGAGTTTTGAATGTGTTAATAACTGGGCTGGAATAATTTTGATGACTGCATTCTAGGACAAATATGTTTATTTATAAATATTTACACTTTATCCCACTGGTCACAGTTGTGACTGATTGTGAATGATTTTTTATTTTAAAGGGTTACTAATGACACAAGATTGGAATATTTTCATGTCTGGGGAAGTTTTGGGATTATATGTGTTAAAAACAACAAAAAGATGGCGTTAAACAACCATTTTTTATATTATAATGTGACATTGCAAGCTGTCAATTGCTTTATTGCCTGCAAGAACGTCGATATTTATAATGAGTGACCAAAAAAATAAAGATACTCACCTAATGTAAGATGGTAGCACTGCAATAAACAACAAACTACATGGGATCAACAGATATATGTAAAACAACATTATGACATGATGTAAGGTATGTGATAATACACAAATTGTTGAGACAAAGTAACAATACATGGACAAAACAAGGCTAGTTTTCTTGTTGAAATTACTATTTGATTGGCAAAGTTGTAAAACATTTTGGGGTCAACAGGGTTGGCATAGTGCCTATTGATATTTCCAATACAGGGGTGTTCAGGTTGTTCAGATAGGGTCGTGGTGGTTCTAGTGGTGGTTGTTGTGGTAGTGGCAGTTGTGTGTGGCTTGAATACCATCTTTATTTGGCAGCGTCACTCTTGGGGAGAGGAGATCCTTTCAGCCACCAGCATTACATTGTTCCTTTGGGTTGATATTTCTGTTATTGCAATTTACTGCTACACACACCCATACATGCACTTTTCTAAATCAGTGGTCCCCAACCGGGCCGCGGACCGGTACCGGGCGTGGATCATTTGGTACTGGACCGCACAGAAATAATAAATATTATATAATTTCCGTTTTATTGATTATCAGAGTCTGAAAGAAG